TTGTCTCATCAGCGAAAAGTTGTTGATACTGCATGGGAGTCTCACAAAGTGCGAAAAGACATCGAGAATGTCCACTGTGACGACTTATTTAGAGTTATGGTTACATTTGAAACGATGTCAAGGAAAAAAGTGAGGGGATTCAATGATGAAAGTCAATGTTAATGTACTCTTGGTCACAGTGTTATTATATAGAGCTGAACATTTAGTCTCCTTTCTCCACCCTATTGCAACACAAAAGCTAATTTAAATAGAGAAACATTAGTGTTTATGAAACGTTATAACATTGGTGTGTTTTTATGGATACAATGTTATCTAAATAAGGTCGACAACCCCCCAAGCCACTCAGAATATAGATAGAAATATTTTTATATAATTTCTAAAGTGGAAATCATTGGCTCACAGTATGGGAAACATCTCATGTGGTTGTTTACAATAAGACCATTTTTTTTTTATAACAACTTCTCTGAAATATAATGTTTAAATATGTAAATGAGACATTTTCTAATGCAAACTTCAGTTGAATTTAGGAGAAATCTACAGACGCACATAGACAAAGTGTGTATTTTTTAGGTTGAAACAAGATATGTTATTGGAGCCTTCACTCTCTTCACTAGTTGATGGACAAACCCACTCTCTTTTCCCCCAACATGTATTAATTGTTACATATTCTCCCAGCGTGTTGTCTCATTTTGTCCTGTCACAGGTACTGATGAGTGTTTTATATGGGAAATAGCTGAAATAAATTAAATGGTAGTCAAACATGCATGCTACATTGTTACCACCTCTTCTTGTCAGAGTGTCCCTTGCTTTTCTAATACAGCTGGAATGCATGACTATAGCCTGACTACTTTATTTGCAGCCAAGCAGGTTCTAAATCCTGTTCCACACACACACTTTTAACAATGACAAACAAAATAACAGCAACAACTCAACTCAAAATTCAATGACATGATAACAATTTCTACAAGTGTTAGGACACATTGGGTTGCTGCTAACTGCTCTAAAATGGATTCACTCCCAAAATAAGCTATACAAAAAGAATTGAGCTGGTATTTTTGTATTAATTAGGACCCACAAGCTGAATGCCAGCCATAAAAGGGTTAAAGTAACTCCCTTGCAGGACTGGAAAATCTAGAAAGGCATGGAAAGATAAATGTGAAACCCCAAAGGTGTACACATGTTTGGTCTGTGGTTACTCTGCCAATACATCTGGTCATTTGTTACATAGTTATGGATTAATGTCAGTGTTTCGTCACTGGGAGAGGGTGAAGAAGTGTTCAGATCATTTACGTCAGTAAAAGTACAAATGTACTGTGATCATACTTCCTACAAGTGAAAGTGTGGCATTTTAAAAACGTAGAAATGTATACCAGTAAAAGCAAAATGCTAACTTAAGATATAAAGTTATCTGTGAAATGTTCCGTTTCAGTTCAATATGATGTGTGATGTATAAACATTACTGCTGCACTCATTTCTATCTTGCATTTTGCTGTGAAATACATAACATTTTTGCTTCAACATCATCAATTAATAAATGGAATGGCTGTTGAATAATAACAGGATTGGCATTTACATTGGTTCTCATCGAGTGGTGCAGTGAGGACATGTTATGGGTGGACCCGGAAGTTAGCAACGCAAGGGCTCCCTCAAAAAAATGGAGTGGGATCTTTCTATTGGATTGTTGGAGTATTACAAACAATTTTTTTTGGGCAACCACATGTCGATGATAATTATACGTAGTTCAACAGGATATCTCCACAAATTAACACAAATGTAAAGATTTTTTAAGTATAAATGTAATCGGCAGAAGTAAAAAGCTAAGGTTAGGCTATAAACAACATCACAGCTAAGCTAAAGACGGCTAATGTTAGCGTGATAATGTTTAGTCTCATTTAGTCACACACGCCGTATTTGTGAAACAAAGTAACTTCTGACGTTCACGAGTGGGGTCTTCACTGACGCATTTTATGTTGTGGAATAAAACGTGAAAATCTCTTAAACTTATATATTAACCACAGATCTTATAACACGTTTAAAAAACATTTGAGATCAAGAAGAGGGAACCAACCGGGTAAAATGCAAACTAATTCCCAGGTTTTAAGACTCACTCCTGCGCCACTCTATAAGCCTCGCATTCATAATGCAATTATGTCTGCCACTGTCTCGCTATCTCCCATTCAAAATTAAAACACTAAACATACACAACATCATTGCATACGTGAGAGCATTTCAAGCTTTTGTCTGTCTGAACTCCACATGTGTGACATCACGGCGTCTACTTCCACATCTAATGTTATCCCCCCAGATTTCACATGTGTTCCAGGCATTAAATGCATGACACTACATAGATCTCTTGTAAAACACCGCTGTTAAAATGAACTCCAGCTTATTGTAAACCCAAGTCATGCGTAATGATTGTCACTGTTGTTGCCAGTGTTGTGCAGAGGTCAGGCTTGTTTACTCAGCATGCAGTGAGAGTGAGGCCATGTTGCTGACTGGT